AATATTTTTTACAGTGCACATATGGTGTTTGATGTTTGCAGAGGATTACCGGAGCTTTCGGACTTCTGAAGCAGTTAAAACAGTTTTTCATATCGGCCGAAATGAACGCCACCTTGTTCAGAACGCAGCAGACGACCTGTCCGTCACCTCCCGTTGGCGGGTGTGTCCGAGGTGTTTGGTGTTCCAGTGCATAAAACGGTAGGGCGAAATGTGTATTTGACGGCGTTTCCCGAAACAGCGAGTGCGGTCGCCGTGCGGGCGATAAAGTCCAGGGATATATGAGGAGTTGACGGGCTTTGCGAATGGGAATGATCCTTCGCCCCACTCACCACACCACGGACCAAGGTCCTGATCCCGGCCGCATAAGAGCGCGTCTTGGTGTCCGTCGCTGCGACCGTGTTTCAAAGCGTGAAGGCCATACTGCAAAGGCATGGCGTATGGACGTGTTTTTCGTCCATGTCTTGAACGTCTTTGATAAGGTTGGCTTCGGTTGGCCTCCGGCAGAGCTCCGCTCCAGCTCCAGTTCCGCGCTCCAGCCGGCTGCGACGGGGCTGCAGGCGGGGGCCCAAGACAGGGGCGTATAGCGGAGAGGGGCCTCTGATGTTTGAGAACAAGCCATAAAAGGCCAATAAAAGCGTTTTTAAGAGTCGTTAGACGTCGTAAGACGACCCGGAATGTGCGACGGTGTCACTATCCGTGCGTCGGGCGACATTCATAACACACTTTACTATCACGCGCTGACGTTCATTCGCTCCTCGGGCCAATTTATTTGTCTTTGGGCGGCCGGTCGGGACATGAGAGGGAAAGGGGGGAGGGGGGGGGGGTGAGGGCACGGGCACCTCACACATGGTGCCGTCATAATCATCAATGTTACCGTCTGACAGTTTTTGGGAGAGTACGTAAGTTTCGTTTATCGCTTTGACCGGTTTTCTTTTCTCGTGTAGTGGGCCTGAAACCGAGCTAAACAACCTCTTCCTTCTGCCCGTATTCTCGTTCCTATTCACCAGGAAATTTTGTGACCATCTCCTATGTGTCCGTGATAATTACGCACCCATGATCTCTAGTTAAAGATGTGGTTCTGTTGTTGTTGTTTTTTTGGTCGTTCTCGTTCCTTTTGAAGATGAAGTTCCGACGTGGTGGTTGAAGTTTTCCCCTGCAGGACTCTATGGGGATGACGCCGCAGTCCCTCAGGCTGGTCTGCTCAGCCGCCGCTCCACCGCAGCAGCTCTGTGACAATAGGGAGTTAATAAAGCACAGCCGAGAGCGCGCCACAGGTGTCCCGGCTGATATGACTTCTGCCCAGAAGAAAGGGGGGGGGGGGTTGATTGACAGCGCCCCGTGACAGACAGTTGCATCCAATGTGGGCATAATTTCGCCATATTTGAGTGTCGGAGCATGAACATTCCACCGACATCTGTCTATCAGCCGGGGTCCCTCCCGCCTGACAGTGAGCCGAAATAGACAGGGAAGCTGTGTTTTCAACCTCATACACACGCCCCACCGCCCGGAGGCCCCGCGTGGAAGACTTTCCACCAAAGAGATAATACGTACATGCACAACTACTGTCCTCATACAGAGAAGTGGAATAATGTGCCATAACTGTGGCTTACTGTCCACCACGTCCACTAGACTGGCACTTAAAAATCACTTTTTAGATTTTTAAAGGTCCTAGGGTCAGACTTTGTTTCTTTCGATGAGAAAAAAAAATTTTTTTTTTTTAGAGACCGATCGGACACGTTTTAGTGGTGCCGCAACGGCCCCAAAGTTGATTTATTTTAAATAACGACACTAAGTCACATAAACGTTAATAACTACCCTCCCCGATGTCCGATCGACGTCCGATTTTGACCAAAAGTAGAGTATTATATAGGGCAACTTTCGTGCAAAGCCACCCCGCTGTAGCTCAAATACTTTCGGAGTTAAGGCCGTTGAAAGATTTTGGTCATTTTTAGTAACTTTGGGGAAATGACCAAATTTCACTAAAAAGGACTTTGACCGTCGTTATTTGCTCTTAAAAATCAGCCACTGGTTCCCTGAGGGTTAATTTGTGTTCTGAATCCGAATCCGTCGAGAGATTTGACGGATTACATCGTCTTGTTGCCACTCTAAAACTTTCATTTTATTAGGGGCTTATGGAGGACTGCTTTTCCAGAATGGCAACAAGACGATGTAATCCGTCAAATCTCTCGACGGATTCGGATTCAGAACAGAATTTTACCGCTAGGGAACCAGTGGCTGATTTTTAAGAGCAAATAACGACGGTCAAAGTCCTTTTTAGTGAAATTTGGTCATTTCCCCAAAGTTACTAAAAATGACCAAAATCTTTCAACGGCCTTAACTCCGAAAGTATTTGAGCTACAGCGGGGTGGCTTTGCACGAAAGTTGCCCTATATAATACTCTACTTTTGGTCAAAATCGGACGTCGATCGGACATCGGGGAGGGTAGTTATTAACGTTTATGTGACTTAGTGTCGTTATTTAAAATAAATCAACTTTGGGGCCGTTGCGGCACCACTAAAACGTGTCCGATCGGTCTCTAAAAAAAATAGATTTTTTTTCTCATCGAAAGAAACAAAGTCTGACCCTAGGACCTTTAAAAATCTAAAAAGTGATTTTTAAGTGCCAGTCTAACGTCCACCCTGAAACCAGTTAAGATTGCTATTAGCGTAAAGTAAATACAGGGTATAAGCCACAAAGCAGAGGAAATTAATGGAGCAGCCATTGCTAGGAGCGGATCAAGTGTGGTAGAGGAGCGATTGCTTTCTTACAATCTCGATGAATCATCACACACCTGTAATAAAGATCGTCCAATTTTACCGATTGAAGGGATTTATTCCCATTGTTCGATTAGAAAACATGTGACGGTTTGTTTTGGTCCATCCATGGGACCATCCCGAGGACCATCTCGATCCTTACTCTCAGCATCCAAGAGTAAAATCTTAAGGGCGTTCGGGGACACTCCAATAGAAGCGTGGGATTGACCCCCTCTTTCTCTTCACATCACATAAATATGTGTGTCCGGGGCCCCACTTATAATTATAGGTTAAGAACGGACGCCGTGTGCCGCACAATGCCACTCGTTGATTTGTGGGGGGCGATGGGAATTGAAAATGCAGTTTGTGGTGCCGCACAAACAAACCATGCAGATCCTTTAGACCGCAACGCACAACCAGCGGCAACCAGCGCCCACTTCAGTTTTTTTCTTTGCCAAATACGTTTTTACGAGTCTGAGCCTCTGTGTGTGTGTGTGTGTGTGTGTGTGTGCGTGTGTGTGTGT